GGTTAACAGACATTCAATAAATAACCTCACAAATATTTAACTAAGACCATGATAATTTTGAGAAAAGAAAAGAAAAAAAGGTGCTCTGAGGGACTTTAATAGAGAGCTTTAATTTTGATTGATAGGCAAGTGAAGGTATCACTGAGAAAGTGAACTTTAAGCTAAAAGTAGAAGAATGAATAGGAAAGAGGCAGGCAGCAAGTAAGAATAAGAAGCAGCAGCATGTGTAAGAGGCCAGAGGTAGGAAAGAACATGGTAAATTCAATACACTGAAAAATAAAATACAATGTGGTTGAGGTATATAGTATAATGATCAAGAAGCGAAGCAACAGGAGACAGAAGTGGGAAATGTGGTAAATCCTGGTGAGGAATTTATATCGCCTTAGTGCCATGAAAGAGCACTGTAGCTTTTAGCAGATAAATAATATGATGCAACACAAATGGACTCTAGAAATGACTCATTGGAGGGCTGTGCTGAGATTGACTTGGAGAAAGGCAAAAGCATGAGTGGGGAAAACAAGCTAAAAGTATATCACAATTGTTAAAGAAAATGATGATGCTGGCTTGGGCTAAGGTGGTAATGGAACAGATGAAGAGTAGATTTGATGTGTATTTTAAGTACAATTAGGAGGTAATTAATGATCTCTCTTAGTGAATTTTTAATGCATTGTTTGAGGCTGAGTTCTGATTATTGTTTGTTGAGTATGAGAGGTAAAGAAGTAGAAAATAAATGGAGACGAATCCTTGAAAAAACAGGCACTAGGAAACAGAGCAGCAGCTATCAGGGACATGGACAGAGAGACATGGAGAGGCACATGAGAGACACAGAGAGAGAGGCAGAGAAACAGACAGAGGGAGAAGCAGGGTCCTCGCAGGCAGCCCATTGTGGGACTCGATCCCAGGACCCGGAATCACACCCTGGGCTGAAGGCAGACACCCAACCGCTGAGCCACCCAGGCGTCCCTGTTCTGAAGAGAAAGTAAAATGCAGAATGACAAATTGAAGAGGCCATAAAAGTAACAGAAGTATAAAAGAGGCAAGAGATAATAATGTCCAGGGGTACCTGAGTGGCTCAGTAAATTAACCATCGGATTCTTGATTTCAGCCCAGGTCATGATCTCAGAGTCCTGAAACTGAGCTGCATGTCTGGATCACTGGGGAGTCTGCTTGAAATTCTCTATCTCTCTGCCCCTCCCCCTGCATACATGCATGCACATGTGCTCTCTCTTTCTCTTGAAAGAAAGAAAGAAAGAAAGAAAGAAAGAAAGAAAGAAAGAAAGACCTTTAAAAACAGAAAAAATAATGGCTAAAACAGAGTTAGTAAATTAGCATGTAGTAGAGTATCTCATGTGTATACATACATGCATACACTTGCATGTGCCCACACATACACATACAACTGAACAATATTGCAGTTAAAGGCACTCTATCTATTAGAAGAAAACAAAAACACAAATTTGAAAAGACATATTCATCCTTATATTCATCACAGCATTATTTATAATATCCAAGGTAGGGAAGAAACCTAAATATCTATCAATAAAAGAATAAAGGTATGGTATGGTATGTGTGTGTGTGTGTGTGTGTGTGTAATACAATATTACTCTGAAATCCTGTCATTTGCAACAAAATGGATGGACCTTCAGTGTATTTTACTAATTGAAATAATTTTTAAAAAGACAAATCTCATATTATTTCACTTTTATATGGATTCTAAAAAAATGAATGAACAAACAAAACAATGACAAATTCATACATAAAGAGATTAAGCTAGTTGTTGCCAGAAGGGAGGAGATTGGAGGGATGGAGGGATCAGCTGAAGAGGATTAAAAGGTACAATCTCCCAGTTCTAAAATATATAAGACATAGGGATGTTATGTACAACATAGGGAATGTAATCAATAATATTGTAATGTATACTGACACATGGTAACTAGACTTATTGTGGTGACCATTTTGTAATGTACATAAATATCAGATCACTATCTTGTACACCTGAAATGAATACACTATTGTATGTCAATTATTCTTCAATAAAAATAGTGTTTTAAAATTTTAAAAAATGAATAAAAACACTGTCTCTAAAGTCAGACTGCCTGGGTTTGAATTCTGCATATACTACTTAACTACATAACCTTGGGACAAGGTCCCTAGCCTTCCTTAGGCTGGGTTTCCTCATTCATAATATGGAGCACTAACCTTAGCATTATGAAGAATACATAAGATGGTTCATGTACAAGTGCTTAACATAGTATCAGATACAGTAACTCTTTAATACCTTTTGTTTGTATAAATAATAATAGTAACAGCAATAATATTAGTCATAATGATAAGGTATCCCTTCTTCTGAGATTTGATAGAGAATAGGTAAATAAAAGATATGTCTAGAGATAGCTTTCTAGGTAGAAGAGATATTGGATGTTCTAAAAGCCTAAGTGTTTTCCTTTTTTTCTGGCAAGTAAGAGATTACACTGTTGGTTTTAAGTGAAAAGAATGGGGAGGGTTAGAAGACTTGAGGAGATCAGGTAAGATATGGTATAGCTGCAATGGAAAAATGACAGGCCATTGAATAGGAACAAGTAAAATAACTGCTGAAATGGCAGTGAGAGTCCTGCTGAGGTAAAAGCTGAAATGTCATAAAGACACCAATTCATTCAGTTCACCAAAGAGAAGAGGGATATATAAAGCCAGAGTTAGCAGCAGAATGAGAATACTAAGGAGCTCAGGTTTTATTCTGTAAATTCTGGGAGACACTGAAGGTTTTAAATATAGAAATCACATGTTGGATATATATTTGAAGTAGACTACATTAATTATTTGATGGAGGAATTAGCAGAAGCAAGACAACCAGCCTGGAGCCTCTCTCATTACTGCAGATGATTCTACACTTTTGAAATTTTCCTATTTAAATGTAAGCTATTGATAAATTTTGAGGATCAAAAAAATTTTGGGTGTATTCACACAGATATTAATTTAATTTAAGCAATAACCTAGAGAAATATGTTTTAACATAATTCTTTTAAAGAATTTCAATCTCTGGTTCACACTTGGGATTAATAATTGTCCTATAATTTAATTAAATAAACATTTATTATATATTATATATAAGATACTATTCTAAGCACCCCAATACATTTTCTCTATAAATAATAATGGCAAAAATAATAGCTGGTACTTAAAAGACTAGGGCCTATCATAACTTCAAAAATATTTTTCTAGATATGAGATTATCTAAACTTTATTTGGCAAATACTAGTGGATACTACCTTGGGTGCTTTACATTACACAAACTACTTTGTAATGTCCTTGACTTTTTTCCCTACAAATATGTAACTAAGGATAGGGAGAGTTAAATAAAAGGGCCAAGTTACTTCATATTCACAGCCCCAGAATTATTTATGGTTATGTGCATAAACAAGAAACCTCTTCCATTTTCTAGTTTGCTTTTAGTTCAGAAGGTATATTGCTTTTTATGCCCTGAAACTTAATTTCCTCAGTGTGGCACCAAGGATATTCTTCTTGAAGGAATTGCTTGGCAAACTAATACATCTTCCAAGATAAACTGCATTCAGAAAAAAAAAAAATGACTTCAGAGAAACTGTGTAGTGTACCTACTGTAGAACTCATAACCATCATGACACAGCTGAATTCTCAGATAGTACATAGCCTTGCTTCAATTATAGTATGATTCAAGCAGCTTAGGTTTCAAATGTGGACTTTGGTCTAGAAAATTTTATTAAATATTGTACTAAAGCACTGGTATTTAATAAAGAATATCTAGCCAGTTCAACTGAATAATTGGCTTAATTCAAAAAAGACAAAAATATCTTCCTAAGATACCTTTGCATTAGCTTTCTCTCATTCTAAGTACACATTCCTGATTTTCTTTTCAAAGATTTGACAGAACATTTCCACATCACTATATACAATGCCATATCTGAGAATTAATAAGCTCTGAATATGGGCAAGCAGTTATTGCACATGTTCAAAAGGAATGTTCTCTGTTCCATCTATCACATTTTGACGTTAAATAAGATTTTTAAATTGCAAAGTATCAAATCAGATAAATTTAAAATACATTACTTTTAAAAAGGTAATAAAATATTTGAATGAAACACAGTATTTGACTACTAGTTCCAATGCTAATTTTGAGTCTTAGTATTCAGATATGAAATTGTTAGGGAGCCAGGGTAAAGTTGGCAGCCATATTACAGCTGCTTATCCATACAATGAACAAACCTGTATTGAATACCTAGGTTAAAAATAGCTTTTTCTCCAAGAAATTTAAATAAATCGCCATGTCCTCTTTTCCATTTTTTTGCCCATTATTTCAATAGCAGGATTGGGGGATGCTTAAAACATATAACTATATCCTTTAATACATAATTTATATCTAGTCATCTTTTGTACTCTTTAAAATGAGGAAGGGATGAGGAAACAACTCAATCCAGTAATGATTTAATCCTACTAAAGCATGATATGTATTTATGATATTTTCTTCCCAGCTGAAACAGTGTATTTAAAGGTTTCAGTTAATTAATGACATTCTATAAGAAATCTAAAAATTCTTGTGCTTTCTCTGACACAACACATACAACAACATTTTTTTAGAATATTGCTATTTATCTAATTACTACTCTTTTATTTACCCTAAATTTGTAAGGCTGGGGGAAAATTCTAACATCAAGATCTAAATAAAAGAAGAAAATAGCCAATACAATAATATATACTACTATTCATATATTAATTAATAGAATTAAATATTGGCACTAGTATGTTGGAGATCCCATGAGATATCTTGAGGTATTCTGTAGAATATAAATCTAAATTTCTTTATTTTTCAATAGCATGACAAATAATAAAGTTTTATTTTTCCTGACAGTCAACGTTATGTTTAATTATGCCATTGTACAGTTTGAAAAAAATCAACAGTTGAAATATTCTTTTTGACAATTGTTATATCACAGCTGAGTTTGTGGGCCTTTATGTAAGATACGTACCACAACACCAAATTGTTCAGGTTCACATAGGTCATCATATTCATTCCTCAGCTGTGCTAATTCACTGAGTACTTTCTGCTCAGGAAGATATTTGACAAGGTTCTACAAAGAAATAGAAGTACAAAAATTTAGTATTTTATTATTAGAACTATTAAGCATGCATTAACAACTCTAAAAAGTAACTAGGATAGTAAATTTCTGATTGCGATTCTATTATAATACCAGTGCATATTCCCCTTCTCTCCCAAATAAATAACCAAAAAATGAATTACAACGTAATGTGAATAAATGTACAAATGTGTTTGGTTTCAATGCACTTTAGGACATAAATGATAAATAAAAAGATCACATGGAAATAAAAGACCTTTGAAAAGCAAGTTACTTTCTGGGCTTTAAACCTATACAGCAAAATTTTTATGTTTTATTTTTTACCAGTCAACTCATATGGAAGTCAAAAATACTATGTTAAATTAAATCATATGTAATAATAATAAAAGTTAAATCTATTCTTCATAATTGGCAAAATTTGGAATAGTCTTTAATCTCACAAACCACACCAAGCCTATGAAAAAAAAAATCCCGTTATTTATAACGTTGGTATTTAAATACACAATGAATTCCCACTTTAACGGAGAACCAAGTTAAAGTGATAAAGTCAATCCCTCTTTTACATTCTACAGTCAAGAATATAGGCACAGAAATCACATGGTATTTAAACATACCTAACTTATGTTCAATTAAATTTGTCAAAATATTCTAGCTCTGTAGTAGCTTAATAGAGATCACAGATATATTTACAACTTCTATAATAAAAAAGGAAAAATAGTGACTTATTTTGTACATGAAAAATTCAACTCCCGCTAATGTCATGATCCCATTTGCAGAGGAAATGCATTCCTTTCTAAAATAATTTATACAATTTACATTTAATCTGGAAGATAATTACTAACACTATTCCTTCTATGCTTTTATCTTCTATTTCATTTATATCCCACTTTGTACTCAAAAATAAAAATCAGAAATCATATTAAACCTAAAAGGTGATTTTTAGAATTAAAAATATAGAATATACAGACTGAGTGACCATAAATATTGAATAACATATGAGGTGTTTATGCCCAGGTCTAACTATAATATATTCTTCCTAAATATAACACAAATACTGGGGTACCTGGGTGGGTCAGTGTTTGAGCATCTGCCTTTGGCTCAGGTTGTGATCGCAGAGTCCTGGAATTGAGTCCCACAGCAGGCTCTCCCTCGGGGAACCTGCTTTTCCATCGGCCTATGTCTCTGCCTCTCTCTCTGTGTCTCTCATGAATAAATAAAATATTTTAAAAAACCAAATACTATCTATGTTAATATTTTTCTACATATTATATAATATTCACGTATTTTAAACTAACATATTTCAAATAAAATATAAAATATCTTTTCATTGTAAGTGTAGCCAAACTAATATCCTCAGATACATAATAGAATAGATTCATATTTGTTAAAACAGGTAACAGGTATACAATATCCTGTTTATGCTACACTCTGCTTTCTTTAGATATCACCTTAAAATGTCCATGACAAACTGATACAAATAAATGCAAGGATGCAGTATTATTAAATATTATATGTAGATGTTTCCAAAGCTGAATAGTACTCCAATAGTCAATATAACTATCTAGGGAGTTTGAAGTGTGCTAACAGCTTACAAATTTTGAAATGAGAATATTGCAATGCACTTGATGTGGAATACTACCAAAAAACTATCTGGAAATTTCATTCAACTATACAAGGTGTACATTCATGGTATACCTAATTATTTCACTTCACAAAGTCAGTGATTCTCTTTCATGATTTTTATTGGGTCATATGAAATGATGCAATTCTATGTATACTAGGAAAATTAGCACACTAACAGAATATGCATATAGTTACACAAAGCATGTGATGTCAGAATGCTACCAGGCTTATGCAGATCCAAATGTAAAAACACCACTATCTAGGAAAACAATAAACACAGAAACATGAGGTTGCTTCTATTTCTGAGACCATAGTACCAGAAAGTCATTTCTTTTTTCTTTTAGATTTTTATTTATTTATTCATGAGAGACACACACAGAGAGAAAGGCAGAGACACAGGCAGAGGGAGAAGCAGGCTCCTTGCAGGGAGCCCAACGTGGGATTCGATCCCAGATCTCCAGGATCACGCCCTGGGCTGAAGGTGGCACTAAACCGCTGAGCCACCTGGGCTGCCCCAGAAAATCATTTCAATTAGCTAAAGAGACTTATACATTATTGGCTATCTTTAAGTATTCACTTCCCTGTTTTCATGTAAGAACTGGTTATAAACACGTGCCTCCAAAACATGCATAAAAGTATACAGTTATTCTTTAAAGAAACAAAGAGCCAGTATGAGGCATTCATAATGCACTGGACATTTTAACATACCAGGTATCCAGGTCAAGCTGATAATATGATTTTTAACTAAGCAGAAAGAACACTTGGGATTTATCGAATGTAAAATATACTGACCTGAACATGGGGGCAGATAAGTGTATGTAATATGCTGGTCCCAACTTCCCAATAAAAGAGTTATTGAGATACTTTAGAAAATACTTCTATTTCTAGCTGACTGATTACACTAGTCAATTGCGTAGTCAAATGGGGTATGGGCTGTCAATTTAGAGAACACATAAAACTCTTTTAAAATATCTTTTTTTTTTTTTTAAATAAAGGACTAATCCAGAGATATAATCAAATACGGAAGACTATCTTAGGAACATCTACCAATCTCTAGTGGTCCACAGTTTTCAGCTGCAATGTGTCTAGAAGATAAGATGGAGTGTACACAAGGCCTAGACCTTTTATAAGATATGAGGACAAATTCAACTGTGTAAATATGAGACCCCAAGAGATAATATCCCTAGTGAAAGGCTTACCTTCAAGAAAAAACAAAGCTCACCCACAGAGGAAAACAGTATGAAATCTTGCCTGATTTTGTCTTGACTCTGGTATTTGAGTATGGGGTTTCTCCCCTATAAATCTCTAACCACAAGACAGCTCCCATGCAGGTTTTTGATCAGAATATAAACTACCTAGTTGTAAACAAAAACAAAAACAAAAACAAAAACAAAACAAAACCAACACACACACACACACACACACACACACACACACACACCTAAAAATCTATCCCAAGAGAGAAATAAGAAATAGAGAAAGAGAGATAGAAATGAGGAGAGAGAGAGAGAGAGAGAGAGAGAGAGAGAGAGAGAGAGAGAGAGTTTAAACTTAAAGTGATTAATCTTTGGTAATGGTCCTAGATGTCTGGCAATAATTCATGCAAATTTCCAAGGAGGAAACTACCTTTAAACATCAGTTTCAAAGGATTCCCACAGATAAAAATTAGAAATCACTAGTTCACAATAAAAATAAAGATAACATAGGAAGCAGTGAAAAAAGAATACTAAAAATGAGTAAGAAAAACAATAGAATTAGACCTATAAAGACACAAGACATAATATTTGAAAAACAAAGATTTTCTAGAGAGATAAGAAATATAATAATTGATATTAGAAATTCATCGGAGGAAGTAAAACAGAAGATGAGGCAGAAATCATAAAAAAATTAGTAAAAATGGACAAAAGAACAAAAAGACATACCCAGTAAAGTATTTGACATAAAGACAAACTATGAGATGTAAACACAAGAAAACATAAACAGAGTAACAATGGTTAAAATATGTTTAATTAGAATTATAGAAGGCAACTATGGATAGAGAGCATAGAAGACAGATAATACTCTAAATAAAATTGGCTAATAATTATCCATCATTGATAAAATAACAATCATTACATTCAGGAAGTCCAATGAATCAAAATAAACAGAAGAATGGATGTTGTTCAATAATAATCAAAACCAGATATTGGTGAAATAATCTGTTTACACTGCTGAGAAAATAATTTACAAATTAGAATTATATATCCATTGCAAATATATTTTAAGATCAAGGATGAAATAAACACATTATCAAACAAACTTTAGTGTTTACAATGACCAAAATTTCACTAGCAATACTTTAAAAAGATGTGTTTCAGTAAGAAGTAAAATGATCCTAGAAGCTGTCATATAATATAGAAGGGAAGTATAAACCTAAGTTAAATATATGAGTAAATTTAAGCAAACATGCATGAAACAGTAAACATGTTGTCTAATTTAGATTAAAAAAAAAACCAAAATATGGAAAAACAGATAAATTAGGAAGTGTCATAGAAAGTTTTTTCAGAGGGAACCCTGGGTGGCTCAGTGGTTTAGTGCCTGCCTTTGGCCCAGGACGTGTTCCTGGGGTCCCGGGATTGAGACCCACATCGGGCTCCCTGCATGGGGCCTGCTTCTCCCTCTGCCTGTGTCTCTGCTTCTCTCTCTGTGTGTGTCTTTCATGAATAAATAAATAAAATCTAAAAAAAAGTTTTTTTTCAAAGTTGTTAAAAATGATTTAAATAAATAGACACACATGCCATGCTCAAGGATAGGAAGAATTAAATATATGAATCTCAATAGATACAAATTTGCCCATTTTATGCAAGTGTAATCAACTACTGTGAATAGATTTTTCCTCTTGTTTAAACTTGTCAAAATGATTATAAAATTTATGTGGCTGAAAGGAGAGAGAGAAATAGTCAAAACATCCCTGAAGAACAACAGGATGAATGTGGGTTGACATTCCCTATCAAAGACACCTGCTGAGGGCAACTAGCCTAAATGCCAGCTTTTTGTTATGCTTTACCTTAAAATCCAAGCCCCTGAGTGGTTACACAACTACTTTTCTGTGACAAACTGGTACCAGACACAGTGCATTAAGACCTTACCCAGAGGATCAGAGCAGGTCTGCATTGCACTGAGTCTCTAAAATTTGGAATTCTGAAACCCAGCCACCCACTGAAGATAAAAGTCAGGAACATTGCAGCACCAAGAGCTGGGCTGACAGTATGAACACAGACAGGGTGGAGGCAGGGATCTGATAGAAACCCGGGATACAAGAGGATAGGCTGCTTTTTGTGAGGGCTTTCTGAACAGTGGTGGGTGCAAACTCACCTTTCCAGAGAAGAGAA